GTCTTGAAGCACGAATTCAAGTTTAAAAAACGAGTGGCGTACGCACGAATTATTTTAAGGAATGAGTGCTTCAGAGTCTTATGAAACGAGTTTTTTATACTAATTTGTGTAGTTTGCCCTCTTTATGTCGTTTTTATAGCTAGACAACTAAAGTTTTATAGACAGTTTAAAAATCGAGGTCGTGGTTTAAATTTGAGCGATCGTTAAGGAAACTATAAAACTCGTGTTGTTTTCAACACTAATATTGAATTAGAAATACTAAATTCAGAAATTATTATAATGAACTATGTCAAAATAATGTCAAAATTGACAAAAAGTATTCATCAGCGTATTTTATAGATTAATACGATACGTTGCTATTGACGATGTACTTTAATTTTGACGGCAACAAAAGATGTAAGCACCATAAGGTGTTAGTGTTGCAAAAATAGTATATTATGTAACTAGTGCTATAAACGCCACTTTAGATATGAGTGTTTAATAAAACAAATGTCTGGAGAAGTTTATACAGGTGTTACATACTATACATTTTCTACGACCAACACCAAAAAAATTATTTAAATTAAGAATTCAATTAAATGACTGAATGCTTTAGCCCGTGACTAATACGACAGTTGCTATTAGCAACGTAACTAATATGCATAATAGTCACGGCTTGTCAAGATGTATATAAAAAATCCCTTAGCGTCATGAAAACATGTACGATAATCCGTGTTTTAGATGTGGGAGTAAAAAACATTTTAATTATAACAAACTGGTCATTGACCTCGCTACCAACCTTGTAGCGACAAATATCCTAGACATTTAATGGGTGTTTTAATAGTCGTTTAAGCACTAATTTTTTTGTATTTTTCAGACGTGTCTAACCGAGCAGGAAGAACCCACTCAAGGGATCGACGCCGATATTGAGCTTTTCAGTACCAAGGAACTCGCCTATTACATGACACTCTTTGATTGGGATTTATTTTGGTGATATTTTTTCAGGTTTAAGTATTTTTTCTTATTGTATGATTGATAGGTGTGTCCACGAGTATGAGCTTTTATATCACACTTTCGGCCGCCACCATTTCGGCCAAATCACCGCCAACTTGGACGTGTTCTTGCGTCGTTTCAACGAGATTCAATTCTGGGTCGTGACAGAAATTTGCATGACAACAAGTTTGAGCAAGCGAGTCGCTCTCTTGAGAAAATTTATAAAATTAGCGGCTTAGTAAGTGTGCGAAAGCTTGATTGTTTCATAGTAAAATGCTGGATTTTTTTTAGTTGTAAAGAATATCAGAATTTGAACGCGTTCTGTGCCATAGTGATGGGATTGAGTAACGTGGCGGTGTCACGTCTGTCGCTCACTTGGGAGAAACTGCCGTCGAAATTTCGAAAGTTATATACTGAATTTGAATCACTCATAGATCCGAGCAGGAATCACAGGGCTTATAGGGTCAGTGTGGGGAAGCTGCAGCCGCCTGTCGTCCCGTTTATGCCTTTGCTGTTAAAGGACATGACGTTCACGCACGAAGGGAACAAGACCAGTCTCGATGGGTTGGTTAACTTTGAGAAAATGCACATGTTAGCTCAAACAATGAGGACCATTCGATTCTGTAGAAGTAGACATTTAGGTAAGTTGCAAACCCGAGGAGGGAGGGGACAAACTTTGTACAAAACGTCATTCTTATTCGTAAATTTTCTGCCAAAAATAAAATACATTTATCCGCAAACGTCACAAAAGTGACTAAATGACACAAGTAAAAGCCATGGAGTAAAAATTAAATTTTTGCGCTTAGGTGTTTTTACTTTTATGACATTCTATGAGATTTACCAATGTTGTCACTTTTCCTGTTTCAGCAATTTCTGGAGAGGTACATCATTAGCATTCGACATTTTGCATTACTAACTGCACTAGTTAAATTAATAAACACTTTCGAAAATCTCAACACAAATTCCGATGACGCGTGATGTTTGTTTATAAGCGTTGTTATGATCTTGTAACTTGCAAAGCGTCCTGATTATTTTGTTCAGTTACTTGATAATTAATTGCTCTTTTCTCTCGATCTGAATACGTTTGCGGATAGAATAGTATACAGTGTCCCAGCGAGTTGAAAAAGTCCATTAGTAACCTTTTAAATGGTAAAATTTAAAAACATTATATAGGATACTAATCTAGTGCATCGCCTAAAATTGTTTTCAACTATACAGCGTGTCTCAAATATAAGTTACAATACAAACTAGTGTTTTTTAAATGAAACACCATATATTTCGTAGGTAGATTTTTATGACAGTGATTTTAAGCTAAAATTTTATTGGTTGATTTTGCTTAGTTTTAAAAATAAGACGGTTTTTTTGACGAAAACATGCATTTAAAAATTTATTACACAAAAACTAGGACATCTTGAAATATTTTTTTACTACCGCAAAGAAGAAGGAAGCTATAAGGTTGTAACATTTTTTTTAGTGTGTTGCACTTGCAAAGATAAAAAAATGAAGGCGTTTGTTAAAAGTTCAATAACTTAAAAAATTAAATGGAACACCATATTTATTGTTTTTGCATTTAAAAGATTAATAAATTGTCTTTCTAAAAATATTTACTTTTTGGTGTTCATAATCAATAACTAAAAAGATATTTAACGTTAAACATTAAAAAAACAATTACTATTGTTTCAGTAGCCAAAAAGTGCACAGTTGCAGATGAGATGGGAGAAATAACACTTAATCACATTTGTGTTAAACTGAATCTATTATCCTTTATTTTTACAATAAAATATTAATTCGAATTTCAGTATTTATAACGACTTTTAAAATCTAAAATTTAAAATATATGAGCAACAATGCCATATACTGATAGGCATTGTTGCTACAATTAATATTTAATGTTAGATATCTTTTCATTTATCAGTTCTAGACATTAAAGGTTTATTTTTTTAGATAGACAATTTATCAATCTATTAGATGCAAAAATAAAAAAAATAAATTTTTCGAGTTATTTAACTTTTAACAAACTTCGTAATTTATATCTTTACAAATGCAAAACACTAAAAAATTGCTACAGCTTTAAATTCTGTACTTTCTTCTTTGCAGAAGTAAGAAAAAATTTGTTCTAGCTGTCTTAGTTTTTGTGTAATAAATTTTTAAAAAGTGCATGTTTTCGTCAAAAAAACGTCTTATTTCTAAAACTAAGCGAAATCTACTAATAAAAGTTTAACGTAAAAACATTGTCTTAAAAGGCTACATCCGAAAATGCCAAGAAACATACGGTGTTTCATTTAAAAAACACAAGTTTGTATCGTAACTTAATTTTGGGACATGCTGGATGGTTGAAAATAATTTTAGGTGATGCACTAGATTAGTATGTATTAATGTCCTATACGATTTTTTTTAATAATGGACTTTTTCAACTCACTGGGACACCCTGTATGTTATTGGGAGTACAAGTAATTTCATGTAGTATCACGTTTACTCCTAATAACATAGTACACTATTTTTGTACAATAACTCATTTTGGAATGTTTTTTTAGTTTTGGAGCCGCCCTCTCCGAAAAGTGAAGGAGAAGTGAAATCCTACATTTCGTGTTTACGGGTAATTGACAATCAAAGAGTGCTAACAAGTATGTCCCAAAAACTGGAACCTCGTCGATCTTAGTGGCATTATGTCTTATCCAAACGAGTCATCACTTACATAGGATGGAGGATGTGGATGGCTTGTCCGTTTCCTTTCTATAAACCGCCCCCAGCTTACGTTTAAAACTGTTTACTCTTCGACTGTAATCATTGTTATATATTTTTTACTCTAGAATAATGCATGGTAAATATTTACACTTCCTACGATAAAATCAGAACAAAAATCAAACTTTTCACTTCAAGCTTTAATCACTCGCTTTCGGGCGAGCAATCATAGAATAATTGTGAACTAGCACTTGTAGTTTTAAAAGAACAAGAGAGTTCTATATTCTTATATGAGTGGTTGCGAATTTTAGACACTTTTATTACAATAATTAATAAAATAAATAAGCAATAAACATTGTGTTGAAAGATTTCTATTTGCACGCAGATTTTATAGGACAGGTTTATTTAGAATAAGAACGTTTTATATCGATTTCTTCTCAGACATGTGATGAATGGAACATGTGTTAAGGCTTCCGTAAGGATTTGTTACGACAATCAGGAGTACTTGTAAAATATGTAAAAATGCGATTATAAATATCGAAATCAGCCAACATTTTATTGTTATTTATTTACCGATTTTAGAAATAGAAGGTCACTGTGTCAAGTAATATAATAATTGTATCCATTTAACATTTTTTACTTATTAATGTTCCATTATTTTGCGTTTAAAACTTAAAACATTAATAATAATGTAAACTCTGCTTCAAATTGTTGTAAGCACTTATCCGGTCTCTAAGCAACAATTTGATGATTGAAATAAAAGTCTGACTTTGTTACTGTTGTTTCCAGAGCAGTTTGAAACAAAAATGAATTTAGTTTTATGTATTCTTTGTGATTTATTTAAAATTTGCCGTCTGCTTCGCAGCTTGTTGTATAAAGCAAAAAATATCTAATGTGATATGAAAATTCATGTTTATGTGCATAATTTTAAATTCTATATTAGAGCCCATGCACTTATTTATTTTTTTATATTTTTACCTTGTCATTAATGACAGAGTTGTAAGGAAAACACTCCAATGCATGTTTTGTGGACGATCTCTGTTATAGTCATCTTTTTACCTAGGGTTATCTCCAAAATGTGTATATAAAATAATTACATTTTTTATTATACTTACTCCATACAAAATTAAATAAAACATTCTTAAACTTGACCGAGTATTTCTGTTGACCCAGAAAATGCAAAAAACCGTACATTATCCTCGTTACATTACTACAATTAGTCAATTCAACAAAGTTTATTTATTTCACGAATACACAAATCTTGAATGAGAACATTGTTGGGCCACATAGTATATTCGTTTTAGTGACTTTGGTTGCCCAGGTTGGCGGCGCATTTTTTGCACATGTCAGTCCTGTCACACGTCAAAAGAATATTTAAAGGTTAAAACGTTTTTAAATTGCTCATATTTAGCCAAATTTCACAAAATCTAGTAAAAGTTCATCATGACCACTTGTAGCGAATATATTAAAAACGTGTTTCCTTCAATTGACGACGATCTCAAGCATTACGTTGAAGGTTGCAATTTTTGAGTCAAAAATAATTTTTTCTTAATGTTTTTTGATTTAGGAGTCCTAGAAAACGGTGCTGATGATTTCCAAGACAGCGAAGAAGTGTACGAGGCAATCGGTGAGGTGTTACAAGAAGTTTCCAGTGATAAAACCGAAGAAGATATACGGTAAGTGCTTTTCACCCTTGAAGCTTGTTGATAAATGATTTAGGAACATATGTGACGAGTTGCACAACATGATGAAACCAGATAAAAGCAATGCGAAAAACGGCCCCACGAAGGTGCTAAATGCCCCGGTACATCTGGCATCAATGGCCGCAAATTTGGAAAATAACATCGGTGATATCAAAAGTATTTGGGTTATGCAGCGCGACGACACCTTGGTATTGAATTACTTTGGCTAAACTATCAACTAAATCGTAATTGTAGAAAGTCGATGCCAAAAAACTGGAAAAAGCAGAGGCCAAATTGCAGGAAAAGCAAGAAAAGCGGTCCAAAGACGTCAAAACTGTAGCCCCTGTTAAACTAGAGGCCGCAACGGCGTCACAAGTAACTAGTAAAAAAGAGAGCAAAATGGAGGCCAAAGGCAACAACAGGACGCAAGATATAAGGATAGAAAATTTCGATGTTGCTTACGGCGACCGGTAAACCCCCAAAAATTGCCTAAATCCGTATTGTACGCCCCATTTTAGGGTACTCCTGCAAGGGGCCGATTTGATTCTAGCCTTCGGTCGGCGCTACGGCCTCGTAGGGCGCAACGGTTTAGGCAAATCAACCCTTTTGAGAATGATTTCAAACGGCCAATTGCGTATTCCGTCTCACATTTCAATTTTGCACGTCGAACAGGAGGTCATAGGTGACGACACTTTGGCCATTCAGAGCGTCCTCGAGTGTGACACAGTCCGGGAAGATTTACTCAAACGCGAGAAAGAAATAAGCGCCATGGTCAACTCCGGTAATGCTGACCCGGAATTGTCAAATCAACTGACGCAGATTTACGCTCAGCTGCAAAATATCGAAGCTGACAAAGCCCCAGCCAAAGCGTCGATCATCTTGAACGGTTTGGGGTTCACCCCCGAGATGCAACAGAAGGAGACTAAGACGTTCTCGGGGGGTTGGAGGATGAGACTGGCTTTGGCCAGGGCGCTGTTTTCACGCCCCGATTTGCTACTTTTGGACGAACCGACAAACATGTTGGACATTAAAGCGATTATTTGGTTAGAGAATTATTTACAGAATTGGCCAACGACGTTACTAGTGGTCTCACACGACCGCAATTTCCTAGACACGGTTCCGACTGATATTTTGCACTTGCATTCACAACGAATAGATGCCTATAGGTAAGGCTACAAAGGGCGAAAACGTGTGATTTTTTCGTGGTTTTCAGGGGGAATTATGAACAATTTGAGAAGACGAAAACCGAGAAGCTGAAGAACCAGCAAAGGGAGTATGAGGCGCAAATGCAACACAGACAACACGTCCAAGTGTTTATTGATAAATTTAGGTATAATGCCAACAGGGCGGCTTCGGTACAGTCGAAAATAAAATTGTTGGATAAATTGTGAGTCGTGTGACACTTTCAGAATAAGTTTATTGGTTACTGTCGATATTTCAGGCCTGAATTGAAGCCGATAGAGAAGGAAACTCCAGTAGTATTGAAATTCCCTGATACCGAATCTCTGTCTCCTCCGATTTTGCAATTAAATGAAGTGTCGTTTGGTTACACCAAAGATAGACTCATATTTAGTGACGTTAACCTTGGGGCCACTATGGATTCGAGAATATGTATTGTAAGTTAAAAAAAACAAAAGGTAAAAAAATCGATATTTTGAGGCAATTAGCCGGAATTTGACAAAAACTCAACAGATTTTCAGGACTAAATTTCCAATTTTCTGTTTCAAAATTGTGCAATTTGTCTGAAGAACACCAAATTATTACAAAATTAAGATGACGAAACGTCCTGATTTGGCCAGGACATGTTTAGGTTTTTATTGCGTTGTCCTGTTTTATATTCTGATTTTTTTTTTCAAAAAACTGCACCTAAATGTGCAGTTTTTTGAGATTTCCATTTGCAGCAAAAACAAAGTGTCTTTGAAGTTAAAAAGTGTTCTTTTTGACGTCATTTCAAATGTAGTCATTGTGAAAAAACTCAACTTACTGAAAGTAGAAACGTTTAAAAATTGCTTATAATGACCAAATGAAATATTGCAAATTAATAACTATTAATAATATATTAATAATAATTAATATTAATTAAAAAAATATATCCTAGAGAATAAAGGGACTTTCAAAGAACTCATACAGAAAAAGATTAAAATTAACCTAAAACAATGATTTAGTAATATGTTATATTATTAGATTAGGGTCTAATTTTTTTTTTATTTTTCATGTCAATATTTTACATCCTATAGGTATTCTTCTTATATTTAAATTTCTACACAGTTACATTGATGACATATTTAATTTTTTATTTTGTGTTCTGGAATGCATACAGTTATAATTATTTTTAACAACGTCCCCATTTTGAATTTTCTGAAGTTGGAAACCTTAACAAAATTGGAATCGAAATATTGAACATTATATTTCTTTGTTAGGTTGGCGACAACGGTGCCGGTAAAACAACGCTCCTGAAAATCATCATGGGCATCTTGTCTCCCTCATCAGGCATGCTTCACATCCATCGAAACCTGAAATTCGGTTATTTCAGCCAACACCACGTGGACCAACTCGACATGAACGTCAATTCGGTCGAGCTCCTACAAAGCACATATCCCGGTACTTCCCCCATTGATTATTATTTGCAATGTAATAATCGCACAATTTAGGAAAGCCAGTGGAGGAATATAGACGCCAACTGGGAAGTTTTGGAGTCTCGGGCGACCTCGCCCTCCAAACCGTCGCCAGTCTATCAGGGGGGCAGAAATCCCGAGTCGCTTTCGCCCGAATGTGCATGGGAAATCCCAATTTCCTAGTGCTTGACGAACCCACGAATCATTTAGATATCGAAACGATCGAAGCTTTAGGAAATGCGATAATAAAATTTACTGTGAGTAATCACTTTTTACCTCCCTTGTGTAATAATGTTTTGCAGGGTGGTGTGATACTTGTGTCGCACGACGAGCGGCTTATACGCAAAGTGTGCAAAGAATTGTGGGTTTGTAATAATGGATCAGTGAGAAGTATAGAAGGCTTTGACGAGTATAGACGACTTGTTGAACAAGAACTTGAAAATCAGTCTAAATAACGAGTTTAATTTTTTAGAGAAATTTGTATAAATGTGCCTCCTTTGTGAAAAAAACACTATTTATGATTTTTTGTTATATTTATAATATATTCATGTTTCTAACGGTATTAAAATATAGGTCATATTTTGAGAAAATTTATTCTCCTATCAAATTAATAAATAACATCTTTTAATCAATATCACATCAACCCTTAAACTTAAACCCAGGGGAAGTTCCGTATGAAAATTTCTGTGTTTTTGAACTAAAATCATTTTCGAGAAAATCATCAACATCTCCAATTTCCCTCGTTTCTGAATCGTTCGCTTCAAAACTGACCTCCGTGTAGTCACGATAATCCGGGTGAACTTTAGCACTAGACCTGAAACGAAAACAATCAGGGAAATCCCCCAAAAACCAGTACAACCAACCTTGACAAAACAAAGGGATCAAACGGGTAACACGCATCTAGGACATTGCTTGAGACTGTCACAAAACCCTTCTCGTCTCGATACACAGTCGGTATAGTATTCCGTGAATTATGTTCAATGATTGAATAACAATACGCTAACTGGTATTTTCGCGTAATTGCGGCGAAATTTTGTACAACTGCGGGCTGGCAAACCCGCAACGGGTTTAAACGACTTGTTACGATTTTTGCCAAGTTTAAACTCTCCAGAAAGACAACATCTGCAATCAAAGTTGTGACAAATGTTTAATTAAAAAAGTCGATTACTTTTTTTCGTATTGACCAAATCCTTGTGTCGGAAGGAAATGACATAGAAGAGGGCTTGACACACTGTGTAAAATACAGAGTGGAGCCTCAAATCCGAATTGACACACTCTAAGCCGTCCTGAGTGGCGATGTACGAGTGTATCCATTCGGCCATTTGTTGCAAAGTCCCTTTCCACATCCTACAATTTTCAATTAATTAAAAACAAAGTTGAATAAAGGAAAAAAACTCACGTAAGTGGGATAAAAGTAGCCCTCGCTATAAAACTAACAATATAATTAACCGCTGCTTGTCTGATCACTGACGCAACATTCGGATCGCACACTTTTTTCCACAAATAATTGAAAAACGCTTCTGTTAGTGTCGTTTTAAACGAACAAAGTACAAACATAACAAACTGGACGTGATGAGTATTGTAAGTCGGTAAAATCAACTGATCAAAAACCGTCAAAATGTCTTGATATAATGACTTTGTTTTCGCCCAATTCAGTTTATTAGTGCCCGGCTCGTAGCACTCTGCGTAAATATAATTGAACATTTTATCGAGACAGATGTCTAAAGTGTGTGCTATTGAATGGACACAGTCCAGGTTTATTGTAGTGTTTGTTTTACTATCATCCATCATGAAAATTTCCTCATCTTCAAGTTTCGTGATTTCTTCACGGGGGGCACTCACGTCCATGATTATCACTTTTGAGAAAATCAAATGGAGGATGTTGGGTCTGAGCGCGGGTTGGTAGCAGATGACCCAGAGGAGGTTCTGGATGTAGTATTCGTGGATGTGGGTTGATTTATTCATGTAGGGGAAGTGGTCGACCAGGGCATGGATTAGTAAATCCTTGCATCTGAAATATTGTTAGTACAATTTTGAAAAAAAAAAAATTTTTGACTCACAAAGGTACCGTTCGTAAAAGTTCACAAAGCAGGGAGTGAACGTGTTGGCACTTCTTAATATCTGTTTTACTGGGGCTGCCATTGTCCCACTCAGGGTCTGTAGGGGCTAAAATATTTTTTTTATTAATTAAAACTAGTGACAAGCTACCAAACTTACAAGGAAAAAACAAAGTGACTAATTTGTTTATTACAAAGTCCGCATGATAGTTATGTGCAGACACTAAGTTCGCAATAAATGATTGATATTCTCTAACTACATTATCGTCTCTTTCAATCCAGTCAATTGAAAGAAGTGCTTCTACAAAAAGACGCAACTCTTCTTTCATTATTGATATACATTCAGTCGCTTCCCTCAACAGCGATGAAATATCATCATCAAACAACTCCGCATCACGAATAAGACAAACTAAACTTTCATAGTCTTTCGCATTTCCATGTTTTATGTAGTCCTTCAATATGTGGCGGACTTTTTTAGAGTGGGGTAAAACAAATCGTACTTTAGTGGGTGTGTTTGTTTTCAAGGATCGGTTTAATGTAGATTTGAGGCTTGGAGTCTTCTTCAGGATCGAGGAAGGGGTCGTTGACTTCGTGGGGGCCGAGAATAAAGACATTCTAATCTAAAATAATGTTTGATATTTTTTGTCAATAAAATGCAGCACTTACATAAATTAAAGCAACGGTTCAGTCACAGTCAATCACAATAAAAATAATATTTCACAATGTTGTTTAAATCACATCTTTTGGAGGTTAGGAAAAAAACGTGTGGTGTGACGTTTACGTCTAGGATTTTTTGTCTCTTTGCTGTGGCATTACTGGTTGTGCGAAAAGAAAATTAAAAATTTTTCCCACTATTTTCAGAGTTTTGGTTAATTATAGGTATTAAATACATGTTATTATAATCAATGGTTTTAAATTAATTAATAAAAACCTCCGCGTCCTTGTCTATGTGGGTGATGTGATATTACTATTTTATTTAGTTACAGTTTAGTGACGTGCAATATACCGGGTGACTATTATTAATGTTTGTGACAAGAAAATCTATTGGCGACGTTGAATTATTAGTACAGTTGGTTGCAATAAAAACCGAAAATTATTTTTTTTTAAATAAAACAGGTTTTGCCCTTGTCAATTTTGTCGTTGTCGATTTGTCATCTGTCGCATTCAAATATTTTTTTCTGCAATGCCGCATTTAAATGCCGAGAGTATTAAATGCAGATTAAGATAATCATTCATTATTTGAATTCTTACCTGAAAATTCAATGTGTAGTGAGTAGGTACTACATATACTGTCAGTTCTAACTTAACCTTTTAGAATTAAATCATGTTCAAACTATGGATAAATATAAAAATCTGACATTTTTATCCTTTGACATTTTCCGATTTTTTTGCAACCAACTGTATTCCTCCTAATTTTTTATATCAGAATGTTGGTGTTGGTGACGGTTAAATCAGCAGTCGCCCGTCGCAGATGACTGACAGTTGCCTATAAAAGTTTGACGTTTAAATTTGAAAGTCAAAGTCGCCAAACTGAAATTTTAAATTTGACACCAACAAAATCACAATTTTTGCAATCACCCAGTATTTTGGTCGTCATTGTCATTTTTTGACAAACCTATTTTTGTATAATTTGAAATTCAGGGCTTATGTTAGCAATAATAGAAAGCACATCGACCTTTAAACTATTTTTAACTTTTATAGACAGAAAAATCAATCAGAAATGATAAATTGCAAAATTTCTAACATAAAAGAATAATTTTTTAGTGATATTGACGACCAAAATATTTTGCACGTGACTGTATTTGGTAAAAAAGAAGTTTGGTTGGCGACACTTTTATTTAAGATTGTTGATAGAAAATTGTCAAATAGGTAAGCTTAGGTAACCAAAGTATGTACATAATAGTAGGTTTTTATGCGTAGAGGAAGATGTGTTATTAAACTATGTATTCAAACATTTTTTTATTCTACTGTATTCACTTTTGAAAATTCATTAACATTGTTTTACTATTTGTAGATAAAGGAAAATATTTTTTAATTAAATGGTAGCCTCATATTAGTGTCTTAATTATTTATTACGTATCTGAATTATAAATGAATAGAAAAAATTCTTTAACAACAATGATGCTGCTTAATGAGCATAGCATGAGTATTCTGAGCGAGTATTATACACATATAAACGTTCTTATTTCTAATGATATGTGAATGAACAAAATAACTTAAGAATATTACTAAAAATAATACTGCTGTGTCTACAAATCCAATTATCTCACTCTAACTAACTCCATTGTACTTAATCTCTTTATCATTTATCCTAAAGGCATCGACAAACTCCTTCGTAAACACGTCATCTTCTTCATCTGGCAACATCGTCGTATCCTCAACCAACGTGTCCTCCTCATCTGAATCGGCCACAAGAATCGGAGTGGCCCCGTCGCACAAATTCGACCGGCTCAAAGTCCTCTGGTACATTTCCTTTGAAATACTCCTGGTGAAAGAAAACCGTTTTGATTTTTGTCTCGTGAGAGGCGGCCTTTCTTTTGCCCCAGTCGCCAGAGTTTCAGCAGCAAATTCTTTAATCAGCTCCCATGCATAGTCAATGTCTTGCTCTTTGGCATGTTCAGCATCCACACAAAACCGGATAATATACTTGTTTTTGACCACAGAGGGTGTCATGTGAATTTTTCCAGACGCATTTATCACTGCTAGTAACTTCTGGTTGGCGGCGTCGCACGCCATTAACCGGAAACACACAAGGCCTAACCTGACATCATTCACGACCTCAAATCGAGTGTCTTGAAGGACCAACTGTTCGAAATATTTGGCGAGTTTGATGTGATTCCGGATGTATGCCCGGAGGCCGTTTAAACCGTATTTTCGGATAACAAACCATAGCTTCAGCGAGCGGAAACGGCGACTTAGGGGGATCCCCCAGTGTCTGTAGTCGATGGACTCATCAGCGTTGGCGTGTTGGAGGTACAAGGGGTCCACCACAAGGGCATGCGTGAGTCTTATTCGATCCCTAACCCACAAACAAGAACAGTCAAAATTAACCAAAAGCCACTTATTTGGATTCGTATTAAAACTATCAGCATAGTCAATCCCCTTAAGTAGATATTTTAATTCCGGGCAAATGAACCCATTTCCGGCGTAGGCGGCGTCCACGTGCAACCAACACCTCTTTTGGGCCTTACACACCGGCCCGATTTCCTCCAAATTGTCAAAAGAACAGGACGCAGTTGAGCCCAAAATGGCCGAAACAAAAAAGGGGAAGAGTCCTTTTTCCTTGTCTTTCTCCATTTCTTCCCGGAGTTTGTCTCCACGGAGGCTTCCGTTCTCGTCGGGGTCCAGGATTCGCAACTTGACTAGGAGTATTTTTGCTGCTTTTTCCACGCAGGAATGCGCCTCTTTGGAGCAGTAGCCCACTAGTTTCGGGAGGAAAGCGCTGTCTTCCATTTGGGGGTTTTCCGTTTTGAGGTATTTGATGGCTTGGTTGCGGGCTGCGAGCATCGAGACGAGGACGCACTCGCTGGCGGAGGTCTGGATGACGCCGCCGCCGGTGCTGCCCTCCGAAGAGGTAATGAAGTCGGAGGGTAGGCCGATAGCTTTGCCAAACCAGTCCATGACGATGGTTTCGAGTTCTGTGCAAGCAGGACTAGCGGCCTAAAATGAAAAAATCAAATATGAAAAAAATGTATAAATGAAAAGTTTTCCAAGTTTTCTTTAATTTTACAGTTTTTGGAACTGTATAATTTTTGTTTAAAGCATTAAAAATATTTATAGTTTCCGGTAAGACTTTTATTATAGTTTTATTGTTGTACACTTATATTTGTTTATCATTTCCTTGAAAAACTATTTGGACAATATTTAAGTCCTTAAAAAAATTGTAAAAAAGTTATGATCTCTCTGCAGCAATTATTCTTTTCTAATTCTTCTCAATTTTTAAATTTCTAAATATTCAGTATTTAAATAAAAAAAAAATTAAGAGAAATTCATTTTAATATCATTTTCTATTGCTTAATATGTGAGTATTTTGAACCATGATAACTTTAATAACTAATAGTTACAATAGAAGTAACTTAATTACAATAATGGTCTTCATTATATGCAGAAAAAATAAAATAAAATAAAAATACAAGAAAATAAAACAAAAACATGCATATAAAAGCTGAAAATCAGATGCCGAATTCGCCATTGCACACCCCCTGTTTTTCATCTTAAAAGAAGAAGAATAAAACAAATTTTCTATTTTGCGTCTGAAAGGAAGCTTAATACGATACAAACGAGCTATTTCAACGTCAATTCGGGTGCTGAAATAGACTAGTACAGTTTAATAAATTTTCAGGGGCGTTTTAAGCGATTTCTTTTATTTCATAAAATATTTGCAGTATTCATTGTTAATTCAACAAAATTTTGAAAAATACTCGAGATTTGACACGTCAAAAATGGAATTTTTCAAACTTTGTGACATTTATGATCTTAATTATTATTATTATATTATTATTTTATGACATTTGATCTTATTAGGGCAAAAGTTCCTAAATTTTGAAAAATCTACTTTTATGTTAAAAAAGTACGTAAAACGCAAAAACGCAAAATAGAAAAAATAGCATAAAAAACTTGTTTCATAAGTCATTTGTGAGAACTCTTTCTTTATAAAATTTGCGCTTCATTGCTCATTTCATGGTTAGAAAAAACTTAACTTAGAAAATGCGTTCTTTAATACAGGGTGCGCCAGAATAAATGATTATAAAAATTATAAAGAAAGTATACAAGATCATCAGTATCATTAAATGTTAAATGTCAAAAATAATTGGCATAATTTTTTGAGAGATAGAATTTTTTAAACATTTAAACAAAGGATAAACTACATTTTAGTAGCTGAATTGATAGAAAATAGTTGGTAAAATATAAAAGTTTTAGAACAGTAAAGACAAAAATCGAAATTATTAATCGTTTATTAAATTACCACATACCCAATTTTTGATTGATTTTGGTTTGGTTACCCAATATTAAATTTTTCTTTTTTGAATACTCTGACACACGGTTTTCACGGTTTTTAAATTTATTAATTACAAGAAATAATCCTAACTTATGAACTTTAAATTTTGCATTGGTTTTTGAAACACGGGATTCTTTTGGGTACCAAAATTGTTTTTAATTAAAATCAATAAAAAGGAAGTGTAAAAAAACTGGTCCTAGGAGACTCTAGTTTTTAAAAACATGGGTGCAATAAAAAAAATTCATTTAATTATTGATGGTTAAAAATATTTACCATTCCTATTATATTTGATTTACAAGCAAAAAAAAATTAATTTAATCTTCCCAATGTTTGTTTATTATTCCACGTAGCGTGAATTGCAACTTCTGATTGGCTGTTGTCACAGCAACTAAGTAAACCATAAAAGAACAAACAAAAAAGTCATTCAGCTATCTCATGATGTAATTTTTCGCGTTATTTTGTAACATGACCGGAATTGAATTTTTCAATCATAGCAATTAGAGGGATATTAGCGCCAGTCCCTGTCATTTTATTTAATTTGAGCCCGATAACAATGAAAGAAATTCAAGTTTTATTTTCGTCCGTCTCAGTTTCAGAGTAATTTAATTTTAGACAGGTATCATGTTAATTGCTCGAATTGATGAGACCAAATTAAAATAATTGACGTCAATGAGTGAAAGTTTTCGAAGGATTTCAGCTGGATGAAGCCTTACAACATCGGAAAAGCCTTTAGCATAACGACGTGTTATGTAAGTGGAAAAAATATAAACAAAATGAAAATCGCGATAGAGAAAATCACGAGTGTTTATTTAAAAATCATGCTAAAAATAATTAACTTTTGATGATTCACAGCGACCCTCGCGTTATTCTCGTCTCTAATTTATGTAATTTGTGGAAACTCACCCATGAAAAGCCGATGCAGCCTATGGCGTCCGACAGCATGTCCCCCAGGATAGACGGGAAGGAGTTTCCCGAGGGAAAATACGCATGGAATCGGGGGTGCTGCCAGTGGGTTATCCCAGGCATAATTTTCTTATCGACGTCGTACATAATATTGTCCCATTCTTCAGGCTGTTCTGGCGCTTCGCTGGGCAAAAGTTTCCTCAAGTATCCCGTTTCGACGTCCGGATGGACCCTCTGCGACTCGATATTTTCCAAATATTGGCAAATATAATCGACCATTTCTTTGCCTCGTGTTCGAAACTCTTCGACATTCATTGTCACACTAACTTAGCACTACGAGCGTATCACAAATCACTGCATGCCGCCAAGGTATAATACTTTTATATTTAAGCTTGCCCCACTCTTAAAACGCGCTCATTTTGTATGTGTTGTTCTTCCCAGCTTTTGTAATGCAATTTATTAATTAAATATTGACGCAAGACTACTACTTGCAGGCTAATAGGTTTACAGGTGAGGATTCATAAATTTCCATTTTAAGGATGTTTCACTAGAAAATTAAACGAATCGGCGTAATAAAAGTACTTCCTACCCTATTTCAGGCCGGATTTTAATGGGAATATCACTAATAAGACTTTAACAGTGCGTAAAATCTAAATTTTGGAAAATTGGAATGAAAATACTGTTACCCATAAATGTGTGTAATAGTTATAAATTAAATTTTATTGCCTGACTTGACTTTTATTGGTCCATAATATGTTTATATGGCGGCAATTTAAATAAGTCAGATTGATTTTTTTTATAAATTAATTATTTTATTTATATGAAATGCACCACCCAGAAAAAAAATACAATGGCTTTTTTGTTAAATATAAATATAACCCTTTGTAAGTAAAAATAAACCATTAAAAAAGTCAAATTAAAATGTCGAGTTGTTTGGTTTCTAAAAACCCCAAGATTTTGACGATTAAGAAGTTTCTAACATGAACTTTATTATCAATTTAAGAACGCAATATTTTGAAATGTCTCTAATAAAAAATAAAAGAAAGTGGGAACTTTTTCCATCTTTCTACATTTGAAAACAGTATGACATAAATTGTATTTTACTTAGATAGTTGTAATACTTAAATAAATTCTAATTTTTATACGATAAAAAGTTATAATACAGTAAAACCTTGATAGTACGCACCCCTGGTAGTCTCAGGATCGCGGTAATTTGGACTGCTGGCTTGCTTATTGGTACAATGTTTGATAATCGCCAGACAAATAAAAAAACAAGTGACAATTAAAAAAATAATACAAAAAAATTATGCTACTTTAATTTTTTGATCATCTATATTTTTTATTTTGTGTGCAATAATTAAATTCATATTTTTTTAACACAAGTATTTCTCTTCTTGTTTCTTTTCTTTTAAAGTAATTTTTAATGTTTTATTCACTGTAGAAAAATGTTCTTGTATTAAAACTGATTTATTTTAAATACGTGTATTTATTTAACACGCACGTAAAAATAAGTATTTGTGATTTATTTCAACCAAATGCACAAACAAAAAAATAAACAAGGTTGAAGCATCTGTACTGCTTTGATTAAAAGGTTAATGAAGTGTTGATATTTTTGTGGCAATGATCTTGAAATTTTTAAAAACATTTACTATGTTTATCGACATTTTTGTCTTTTTATTAGAGCAGTATTTGGAAGTAGTGGAAGTCCGAACTACTGAATATAAAAATATTTGTATTGTTCAATAAATATTTATTTAAGAACGGATAATTTTGATTTTAAAAAGTTAAATAAAATAAACGATAAAAGAATAATTTCATTGGAGTATTTTGAAATATAACTGGCTGATTTTTTAAAATATTTAAAGTGTTACTATACTACTACAAATACGAAAAAAAAAAATTTTAATTTCTTAAATCACTAAATTTTTAAATGCAAATAACATTATACAGAGTTATAATTTAGGATACAGCTATGGGATACTGCTTACCTTTTCTAATAGCCTGTAGCAAAAAAACTTGGAAAATTATTTGTCCAACAGAAATAAATAGTCAAAGTGCAAAATTTAAACTCTTATAATTTCGAAATTTTTATAGATAGATTATATATATAGAAACATTTTTTCCATGTTTCTGGTATCTTACATTTACATGGCATTTTTCTCTGGGGCGCGAGTTCTGGCGCAGCCTGTATAGTAAAAGAACGAGTGAACAACAAACTAAAAAAATACTTATGTACTTTGTTGTATTATTTTATTTGTTTTTCGTTGTAAATACAATCCATTATAATCAAATCTAGTAATTACCAACAATGGCATTTTTATTTAGCACTTTTTATAGGTACTCGTTAAAAACCATTTCGCTTGCATAGTCATTTCATATGCAGATTCATTGTTTTTGCTTCTTTTTGGTAAATTCAATTTTGGAAATATATTTGTAAAAAACAATGCATAAATTCTAAAGAACAGATTTGTCTTACTTTGATTTTAATTATTTTTAAAATAAATTGCAATGAAATAAATAGAAAACACGCTCAAAAATAAACTGTGTACTTAAATAGTAATTTTAGAAGCTCAATAAAAACTCTACTTTTTTTAATGTAATGTCTAGATCAAAAGTGTTTTTATTTCTTAGTTGAACACAATATTTAGTATTTTTATCTGAGTAACTTAGTCCAAGCAAACACTACGTCCAAGTGGTAATTACTGAATAAACAGCAATACAATCAATGACATCACGTTCTGGATTCCCCAGGAAATCTCAAGCTTTTTCTTCCAAAGTTCATCTTTTGTGCCAGTTGGAAATGCCGCCTATGTAATTAGTAATTACCTTGTTTCACGCATTAGAAACTTTCCAACGAAAAAAAATATACAAACAATTAAAGGTCGTACCTAATACTCATAATTCATCTCTGCACGAGATGTGCAAGGATATCAAAATACTTTTCCATCATTAAAAAATATGAAAATGCGAATAGCGAGTCATTGAACTAGAAACTGCAGGATCTCCGTTAAAAACGTGACGAAATAATATAAATGCAGTGTCATTTTTATTTAATTTGTAGCGGATACAAAGCTTTTGTTCGTGGCGATATTATCTGCTAAATTGCTATGGTAAATCCATTTTTGCAACTTCCGGGAAAGAACAGGACCTGAGGTTTTACAACAGGATCTAGCAGAATTTTTTATAAAAAATGTAAAATATTTGTAATACGTATTGGCCTGGTTTAAAACCTGTTCACACCCACCTGGAAATAATTATTTATGACACAAAGCTGTACCGCCCACTCTATTATCACCTGTTATACTTTTTTAAATAGTTTCTACTTACTTAAATAACTTCCAAGTAAAGTCTTGTCTTTGTTGAGAAATTTTCCAAGTATCGTATTTTTTTTGTTTCAGTGAAACTAAATGGAAAAGAAACTAAGTGCTAATTTGTTGAAATGACAAAACATTGAACTTTTACCATTTCTGTTTTCTAAATATTTTATTTAGTGTGGAGACAAATTAATTTTTTGGTAAAAGTTCAGTTCATAAGTCACGATTTTTTTTAATCATCGATGAGGTAAGATCTAAAAATTTTGAGGGAAAGTTAGAAAGACGTTAGTATAACACATTTATTTCGTGGTGAGGTCAAGTACCTGTGATAAAACTCTGTAATAGAGGAGCTTCTGAGTCATTTAGCGGCATTCCAAATTTTTAATAAAGATAAGAAAAGGTGGGTTAATGGAATTGTGAAAAAAGAGTTAAAAAGTGTTCGTTTAACTACAGTTAACTTGCTAATACTAATATGTATTTACCAACGTACGAAAAAATTGTTGTTTGCTTTCCACGAAAGAACATCCTACCTCTTATCTAATTTATTTGAAAGTAGTTAGAAACTAATTCAATTATGTCAAAAATTTAATCTTCAATCAATTAGCCCTTCCGTAACGAGAAAGTTAAGCGGATTTTTGTAATCAATAGATAACACCATCCAAGTTTCCAATAATTTCTCTAGCGTCAAAACAGTCAATAAAAATATCTTGATTAACCCCCCAAATATTGCTTCAGATACTTAGAATAGCTTCCAAATCATTTTCGAAAAATTCTAGAGTTCAATAAAACTTTGACGTAACATCGTGAATTTACTATTTGATTTCATTTGTAGACCGATTAGTCATTGGTCTTGACATTGGCCGAGGTCCAGATCTCGCCTCGACAATTACGGCAATAGATTTATTGAAATTTTAGCATCAAGGATGCTGATTCATTCAAAAGTGGCCAGTAAAAAACGATTTTTTGACCACCTGGAGTAGATTTATAATTCCGGTTAAAAAAATGGTGCGTTTTGAGTCACAATGATGAAAGAATCCGGTACGCTACATAATTAATTATGTAATTAATTAAATTGGAAAACAGTATTTGGTCATGAAAATTTTAGGAGAACTTTGAAGGAGAGCAGGAAAATATTACACTTTTGGGACCAGCTATTTTGGTACTTGTTCATCATCCACGTAGGTATAGGTGACGTGGACTAAAGTGTTTTGTAGGCATACACACTAAATTCTAAATTTATTAGAAATAACAAATTATAAATATACAAATGTCAACATAAACTGCTGTCACACTGTTTATCTTTTAATCAATCTGAATTAATTATTAAGTTGCAAACTATTTTTATTCGTGAAAATATAAATAAAAGAGTGTATAAGGAATTTAAAAGATTTTGTACTTTTTTTTTGGTAACTGGACTCAATCATAAGTACATTAGCCAACAGTTTTAGATACTTATATATTTTTTATTTGACTTATTAAAGTCAATTATAAATATAACTTCCTAGTATAAATGAGTTTTTGAATACAAACACTATTCGTTACATTATAATAAAACTCAAATGTTATATAATTTGTTTCAAATTGTATGGTGGAAAATAAGAATTAAACACAACACAGGAAAAAAAGTGACTTTTATTGTTTTACCAATATCTAGCTAATCCAATATCTAGTTTCAGAAAAAATGTTAAAAAAAATCTATGTTTAAATTTTTTATAGAGAGTAATTTTCACCAACATGTTTTCAATAGCAATCTCGTAAAAAATGCAGACGGTCGAAAATTACATTATTCTTGCTTTTTTAGAGTGTTTTGGCACGTTTTTTAGCCTATTACATCAAAAATACATGAGCGTTTTAGCATGTTTTTCAGCTGGATACTCAATTATTTTGAAAAATTGCTTCCCCAATTTTTGGATGTAACTTTTAATTTCTTTGTTTTTAAACTAAACATTTATTGGTCGATTTTGAAAATTTTTCTGAAATATTTTCTAAATTTTCAAGAGAAGTTTATAAAAATCCATTTTAAGCTCCGTTGTACCATAAAAACTACATTAAACAAAATTAATATAATAAAAGTACGTACATACTTCCCTCCCGATTTTAGCCAGCATTTAAATGGAAACATCACTAGTCGTAGTTTAGATATGCGTAAAATTAAATGTGGAATCACATTGAAATAAAAAATGGAAATTGAAAAATAGTTATCTACCACTACTGTGTGTAAATAGATAAATAAAATTGTATTATTTTAGTTGTCTCTTTTATAGCCTCTCATGGATTTATAAAAGTTTATCTCAACTAAATGACAATTTTTTATTTATTAAATCAAAAACAAAATCTGCACAAGAACAAACTAAAACAAATAACATTTTTTCACTGGACTTTTTCAAGTATATTAAAAGAAAGATTTGAAAGAAATTAATGTTGGAATTACGGGTGGGTATGCTAAAATATAAAATTACGGGAAAATACAAATTTTGTTTGTTTTTTTGCTAATTTTAACATTTTTATGACGTTTAAATAGACCAATTTATTGCTGGAACAACTACACACTGTATCTGTGATTGTTAGCAAATAAATCAAAATATTTTTTTTTGAGTTTATAGTTATTTTATGTTGTAACTACTTGAAGGAAAATCATTTGATTCTTAACTTGAAAAGTTGAAAATACAAAAGTTTTAGTTTATAAGGTGAAGAATAACTAATAAAGACGTTGGTTTATACAGAATGTTCAGAAAAAATGTCGCAGCTCACAAAATGTTGTTTTCTTGTAATTTTATGTGTTGTAAAACTTGTTTTATTTTACTTTTAATATGTCACAAAAAATATAGAAAATATCAAACTAGTGACGTTCCTCTAAATGAAATCAAAAAACGCCTTTAGCCGTTATTTGGACAGTGGCATGATAACAAATAAACGATTGGTGTAAGAATTTACCCAAAAAATAAAAATAAATCAAATCTACCTACGCATATTTGCAATTGTTACGAAATAGGGCCCCTATCAAGCCCAATAATGGAAGCAAGTATTTCTTTGCGTTTAAATTAGGTTAAAAAATTCAGCCTCGTGACGTCGATCTGCGTCCATCGCAATATTTTATTCAGCAATAAACATTTACTCTCTCTTCGTTATATTTATCAGAGTTAAACGCAATATTAAACATGTTTGGTACATAATTCATTAATTTAAAGATCCTCGTATATAAATATCCAGGCTTGATCGCATTTTAACAATGACGCAATAACCACCACATTTACGATCCATTAAAAGTAAGAATAATTCCAAAGCGGGAAACTTTTACCGGAAAGCATGAAACGGTTTTATTACTCTGCAAGCCTAATTTATTGTAATTAAGCGGTACATTTAGTGATCAGTTTGATGCAGTTTTGGAGTGAGAACCGGCGAGCGTTTCGGCGATTTGTTATTTTCACCCTCAGGAGACGGCGATTGGCCTCCGTTTGTTGTTTTTCCAGCGGCTTTTAATCGAACTTTCGTATCGAGATGCCGGAATCTGGGAAAATAATAAATGTGATCGAAAAGTTTGGTCGCAATGCGTGAACGGAATATAAGTCAGTCGACTGGAATAATAATGCAAAAAATACCGAATTGGGACGTCGCTGGAACTTCCATCCTCGTTGATTCCTTGGAATAGGAAGGCCAACGGCCAGCTGATCCACGAAGCGCTCCTGAAAAAAATCATTAACCGACGATTTTAAAATTAATGATGAGGTACAAAGGCGGTTGGACCGTGACATTCCCATCGGGTGATTCGACGGTCTCGGTCAGATGTCTCCGAGTCGAGGGCAAAGCTTTGGCTATCGAAGGATTGTAAATCTTCGGATCACTGACCATACGCACAAAAAACGACCGTTTGTGGGCCAAAGTCTCCTTCTTCTTGCGTTCCATCAGTTCGAAAACATCGTCTTGCAACTCCTGCAAACGTAAACAGCTTCTTTCAAATTAAGATTAATTAGTGCTCCAGAAAACTGACTATAAATATAAATTACTTCATCGTAATTAACATGGAATTTGGCCTCACTGAATCACACGCTTCCTCTTTTTGTCATATCTGTTTTTAATCATTTTGTGTATTATTATAATGTGAAAAAATCGGCATTGACATTCGACGCAGATGCTCGAGACTCGAGAGATTTATTTATTTTATAATTTACTGACTTTGGAAATGACAAAACGGTGATCCCAGTTTCGTCATTCATAAATATAAAAACTATTTGGGCAGTACGTCAAGTTTTGATCTGTTTTTCTTCATAAAATTATAACTTTAAAACTAAATTAATATAAATGTCTTCAGGACAACAAAGATGTTAAATGATGCAAGAGTACTAAAAATAATAATGAAAGTAACAGAAATTGTTTTAATTTCGTAACGAGTATACAATGTCGAATTCGAAGAATCTTTAAAGTGGCTATAAAAGCTTCAAAAGAAATTAATTTTGAATAACTAACTCACAGATTAAACAATTGATTGATGACAAATTCAAAAATTATTTTCAAAAACAAAGAAAAATATTAACTTTGTAGTGCGCCAGAACTCGCGCCTCAGAGAAAAATATAAGGTAAACTAACAGGATCATGGACTAAATGTTAAAAAATTCTATCTATAAAAAATTTAAAGTTATGAGAGTTTGAGAGAAGTTTTGCACTTTGACTATTTATTTCTGGTGGAAAAACAATTTTCCATTTTTTTTTTGCTACAGGCTATTAGAAAAGGAAACAAAAAAGCTGTAACCTAAATTGTAACTCTGTTTAATGTTATTTGTGGATTTTATTGGCAAAAATTTTGTACCTTTACCAAATAATTATAAAAAAACATACCAAAACATCATTAAATAAATCTAAAAAAATGTCAAATGTCGAAAAATAAATAAATATTTTTTTTCCATGTTCCTGGTATTTTATCTTACTTGAAATTTTTCTCTGGGGCCTGTATACCTATAAAAGTGCTGCAAAGGTTTAACTATTAATATCTAAAAACAAACGCTAAATTTAGTCACCATAACTTAAAAATTATTAAATTTAGGTGTAGGGAATGTTAATACAGATCGATGCAGAATTAAATTCTCTTTTATTTAGTAAAATAAAAATTGAAGTATTTCATTTGAAAAAATTAAGTTATGAATATTTGAATTATTACAAAAGTAACCTTAAAATTTTAGGGTTTATTAATTTTTTTTTCAAAATATGAAAACATCAAAAAAAGATCTAAGCTTTTTCTTTCAAATGCCAAAAAACAAATTCAAAAATTTTAAAAACAGCAGAGTTATCGATTTTTAAAGTGGAAGGTGCAGATCCAAAAATTTTTGAAAAACTCCAAATACCTATTTCAAAAACGGCTAAATTTAGGTATAGGGAAAGCTGATAAAAACTCCCTTAAAATAACTCACTCTGCTGCGCTTCGCTCGTGTCTAATAAAACTCATGTTTAAACTGGCGTTTATAGCACTAGTTACATAATATAATATTAAAAGATCATTTTTCTCAAATTTAAAACTTAGAATTTGAAAGCAGAAACGAATTAAAAAAAATTATTATATCTGAAAACAAACGCCAAATTTAAAATTATTTTCATATAGAGAGATATTATTTCATGATCTTATATGACACACCCTGTATACTGAGCGATAAACCTATGGAATAATCTTATTAAAACTGAAAATATTTTGTTTTTGCAAAAATGCTCAAACAGGTCAATTTTTGTAAATTCACAATTTTCAACTTGATTTAAAATTTTACATTTTTCGGTTTAAAGTAACGAAGTTATCGTCATTTTTTTAATTAGAAACCCTTAATTTTTTAGCCAATTTGATAGATCTTTAAATTGCTAAAATTTCAATATCAAAATATTAAATAATACATAGTTTTTGAAAAAAAATGTCATCTGAGAAGAACAAAAAACAAACGTACAATTTGAAATCAAGTTGAAAATTTTGTATTTTTTAAAAAGAAATGGACTTATCCGAGCTAGACTTCCAATATTTTTTTATAATATGCATTTTTGTCAAAACAAGATTGTTCCATAATTTTGCCGCTTGCTGTAGAGACCACAAATATTAGAAAATACGCAAACAACTTACCTGTTCTTTTTCTAAGGCCTGACTATCGAATAATTCTTCTGAAAAATCTCTAATAACCTTCCATGCAAAATCTACAAAAAATAAAATGAAACTTTGGCGAGAAATTAATCTTTGGGCCACCTATATCAGCCTCTGTAGCATTTTGGGCCACCACACAAAACCTGATAACATATTTATCATTAACATTGGCAGGAACCATGTGAAGTTTTCCAGAAGCATTGATGTTGCTCAATAATTTTTCATTAATTTTATCAGATCCCTTCAACCGAAAACACACTAGACCCAGCTAAAAACAATAAAATAAATTAAAAATATGCGAAATTGTGTCACCCACTTTGACATCATTGCAAATTTCGAATCTGTGATCTTTCAACACCAAGGATTCGAAAATCTTGGCAAGTTTAATATGATGTCTGATGTATTTTTGTAGTCCGGAAATTCCGTAACTTCTTAATACAAACCACAGCTTCAGTGATCTAAATCTGCGACTTAAGGGGACTCCCCAGTGTCGATAATCAATCGTGGCGTCTGAATATCCGTGTTGGAGATAAAGCGGATCTACCACTAATGCGGATGTTAATCGAATTCTGTCTCGAACCCACATTGTGGAACAATCGAAATTTGTCAATAGCCATTTGTTCGGGTTTGTGTTGAAAGAGTCGGCGTATTCGATCCCGGATAGGAGGTATTTTAATTCCGGGCAGATGAAGGCATTGCCGGCGTAAGCGCCGTCGACGTGCAACCAAACACACGGAAATTTGCGACACACGGGGCCGATTTCGTTCAGGTTGTCGAAGGAACAGCTGGAGGTAGTGCCTAGGGTGGTGGACACGAAAAACGGGATGAGGCCCATGGTTTCGTCCTCCTCCATTGCCTGAAATTTGGTTTGGCTCGAGGATGGATCCTAGTTTTTTAATGATTGTTTTTTTTTAATTCAGTTTTCATTCAAAGTTTTAAAACCGGTGACAGTAAACATTATTCGAATTTTTCACTTAATTTTTACTTAATAATGAAAAATAGATTTTTTTAATTCGGGTTTTGTATTTGCAGTTAAAATTGTCTTTAAAAATTTAAAAAACGTTTTTTTAGAAACTAAAACCTCAACCAAATTTGTGAGGAAAATTTTATATCAAGTGATGAAAACTTATAGCTACATTTTCCCCTAATAAAGCGTTTATATTTTCGATCAAGGGGCCGTTAACTTTAAAAACATGTCTACAACTATGTAATTCCAATACCAACAAAATTTAACCGAAATTCTAGTAATTTCAAAAAAATCCACCGAAATTCCAGTAATTTCAATAATCCAGCGTAATTCTATTGTGTTCAGATTAATTCCAACTTAATTTCCATAATTTCAACTTAATTTTCGAAATTTTAAAATAATTCTTCTTGTTTTAAATTAATTCTGTTAGTTCCAAAACATTCAATGTAATTTTGAAAAGGAATTACAAAATGATGTTCTTGAAGTTCAGTCATTATTAAATTTATTCAGGCTACGTGTATTACTCTGTATAATATAGAAAAAAAAAACAAAATGACAATTAAAGAAAATGAAGTATTATATTCGGAATGATACACGAAAATAAAAATATGTATTCACATCTATTTGAAACACACAGTGCGTGACCGTAAATATTGTAAAAAAAGTGTAAATAAAAAAATGGTAGAGAATTATATTCTTTACAAATGGAAATAGTTTGAAATTGTAGAGAATTTTTTTCAGCATTTAGTGAGAAGTGACAAATTAAATTGCTAACTAATTATAAATAGTGACCAGATGTAAAAATAAAGATCTTACAAAATTAAATAACCAAAAAATGCTTAAAACTACTTTACACTATGCTTGCACTATGATTTGCCTTTTGAGTTGTCTTATGAGTATTCGCATGATCTGGCAATTATTAGACAGAGAAACAGGGTGCTCCAGAACTCGCGCCCCAGTTATGAGAGAGAAGTTATGAGAGTTTAAAGTTTGCACTTTGACTCTATTTATTTCTGTTGGAAACGGCATTTTAGTTCAAATTGTATCATGCAATGATAAAAAATCACAAAATTTTAGAAACGTGACTCGAATATAGTAATACTAGTAATTTAGTTGAAAAATGTGTATCAAAACTTGTTAATAGAAGTATTTTACTAAACAATTACTCAAAAGCGCTTACGAATAAAATCTCAGACAAAAATGTATTTACCTAAAATTACTAGCGTTTTTAACGTTAATTGCGTCATCAATATGGTAGTCATTTTCAAGTAATCTTCCAAATAAGTAATCCAAAAAGAATTTCATTAATTCTAAAAAAAAATCTAGTAATTCCGGAAAAGTAATTCACAACTAATTTCAGTAATTCCAAACAATCCAAACATAATTTTAATTGCTTTATTTTGGCCTAAAATTAAAATTTAAGCAATTATTTTTATAAAATACATTAATTTAGAATTATTACAGTGTTAAAATTAACCAAGATTGTCATTTAAGCATTTTTTTAATCATTTGATTCAGGTTGATTTCCGGCTTAAAATTGAGCCAAATCGACTAAAAATAGCACAAATTGTTTTATTTTGGCCTAAAATTGAATTTTAGGTAATTATTTTTATAAAATACTTTGACAAAATTGGGTTTAAAAATAGCTCAAATTGTTTTATTTTGGCAGAAAACTATTATTTAAGCAATTATTTTGTTGAAATGCTTTGATTCAAGTTGATTTTTGGCTTAAAGTTAAGCTAAATCGATTGAAAATAACACAAATTGCTTGATTTCAGCTTAAAATTGGAATTTAACCAATCATTTTTATAAAATACATTATTGATTTATATAGTTCGAAAGGATTCCAGAAAATTTCAAATAACTTCCAATAATCTGTACAAAAAAATTCCGGAGTTAACGGCTCCTTGGTTTCGAATTTTTAAAAATATATTTAAAAACTGTCAGTGGTACGCCTTACATTAAAAATACGATGCTTCTGACCAAAAATGATCAAAAATTAATAAAATTTTAATAGTGGCCGATTACAGAAAACAGTGAAAACCTACTTGTCGTAAGAACTTTTATTTTGTGGAATTGTGATTTTTAGGCAACTTTCAAATCTACAATTTAGTTTATAAAATTCAAATTTCAAATCTCTTAGAAGTAGGTGGCCAATATTTTGACTTTTCATTATTTTATTTTAAATATTTCGTGGTTTGACTACTGTAGTCCTAACCAAGTACCATCATGAGTGTAGACCCCCTCAGCGACGACTTCTCATCCGGTTCCAAAATCCTCAACTTCACGAAACAAATCATCGCCGCCTTCTCCACACACGAGTGTGCCTCCTTGGAGCAATACGCCATTAATTTCGACAGCAAAAGCCCTTCCTCCACAAACGGATGTTGCTGTTTCAGCCTCTTCAAAGCCTGAGCCCTCGCCGCCAACATCGATACAAGCACGCATTCACTCGCCGACGTTTGAATAACTCCTCCACCTCGACTTCCTTCCTTAAACGCCAAAAACTGATCCGGCAAACCGATCGCCTTCCCCAACCAATCCAAAACGATGGTCTCCAGTTCGGTTAAAGCCGGACTTGCAGCCTGAAATTTTGCCTGAGTTTGGATGAGGGAGTCTAGGAGGTGATTTGTACCCAAGAGAATCCAATACAGCCGATACCGTCCGAAAGCATATCTCCAAGAATGGAGGGAAAGGAATTTCCAGAAGGGAAATACGCGTGGAATCGTGGATGTTGCCAGTGAGTCACTCCAGGCATTATTTTTGACTCTATGTCAGACATTATGGCGTCCCAGTCTTCGGGGTTGTGGGGGGCTTCTTCAGGGAGGAGTTTGCGGAGATAGCCGGGCTCGATGTTGGGGGTGACACGACGGGAATGGAGGTTTTCGTTATAGTTGCAGATGTAGTCGACCATTTCTTTGCCTTTTATTCGGAATTCGTTACAGTCCATGGCTAAATATACGAATGGAAGTGAAGGATAGGCAGCACATTTAGCATAAAAGTATTTGAAAAGGTTAACTTTGAACAAAAAATATAAAACGAAATAAATCTATTTTACTATTTGGTACTGTTTTACCACTTGAATTACACTAGTTTACACTATTATTATATCTTCGCTAAAAGTTATAATTTCTTATAGATCTGAAGCCACTGAGTTTAATAAAATATTTAAAAAGTCCACCACGTCACGTTTAAGAAATATGTAATTAACAAAAATACTGTACATAAATTAAAAATGTGTTGTCTTACTTTGTTTTTTATACTTTTTTGGATCAGTTTTTTTTTATAACAGTCTAACAGTAATCTCCTAACATATTTAAATTCCAAAAACTTTTGTACAGATCTTTGAAAACCCTTTAGATCTTGATGAAAACGTTTGCTTTGTTTCTTCTTTTAGAAAAGAAGTCCAAATGCAAGTCAATGAAATGTACTTTAAGACCTATTTAGACCTATCTGGTGATGGGTTGCAATAATCTAGCAACAATTTCAATTTTAAATAAATTTTAAATCAGACGCATTTATGGAGCAAGCAGGAAAATTATCGTTCATAACAAAAAAACTGTGACGTGATATAAATATTTACCATTATCTTTGTAATAACAATTAAATTAAAGGTATATTAAACAAGTTTGTAAACTAGTGTTATTAGACGTTCGACCTTAATATTAGTCAGAATAAAAATAATAAGTACGTGGTGAAGTACGGAACCAAGCGTTTTTTGTACAAACTAATTAGATAATTACTTTACAATTTTTTTTTAACTTGCATTGCATTAATAGGGATTCTAAAGACAAATGAATTGTAAAAAACACTTGGTTTAGAGTTTACCTACGTAAAAAATTTTAGGTATTTATTCGAGTAACACGTGTTTTTTATACTATTTTTTCTATTGAATGGTTTATAAATTAAATTTATTATTATATTTGACAGTTAAAATTTTTGTCATTTGACATATGCGGTATCCAAATTTCTTGAAAATTGCATTAGTTTCGATGAAATAGTTGATCTACAATAATTTCTCCCAGTATGCACAGCCAATTATGGTAAAAATGTAGCACAAAATGTCCACCAAAACAGAAAAAAAAAAATATCAAAAAAAAGGTAATTACTTATAAGTGAAATCGAAAATATTAATTCAACTATAACTTCTAAACGATAAAGAGTTTTGCAGTTTTCTCGACGCAAATCGATTTCTCGGATCATTTTACATACGTATGCAGAAAAATATTATAACTTTGAGGTGCAATTTACAAAATACGAGTAATAAAAATAAAAATTTGTAAATTTTCTTAAGTTATAACCACATCGAAAATAATTGTATACAAAATTCGAATGTTTAATTTGGTTGTTTCAAAAATATAATTTTAGTTTTATTTCCACTACAAAATAGTATTGCCTGCCCTTAGCTGCGCCACTGTAAGGTGAAATTTAAAACAATACTTTATGCGAAATTTGCGGTGTGTTCCTAAAATTTTGTATAACTCTAATACTAAATGGAACAGAGACTTTATAATTCTAAATATTTAGAACAAGTAGTAAAAAAATAATAAATTCACGAAAATAAAGAAATAAGTAGCTTATCAAACATTTTATTTCAAGTGTGTATTTATTAAACCTATTTTGAAATTGTGACTAATAGATAAAACCTTTTTGATACAAAAATAAAACAATAACGCATTTGAATGTCACATGTATCACGCTCTAAAATCGTGATAAACTAATAAATTTCTGAAACTGTGTCAAATTTGTTCCTACCTGTTGCTTCGTACAACTTCCTGATTCTCCGGCACGAGTTTCACCACCAACTGCCACCGTTTAACTCGGCAAATAATTTCACCCTTCGACCTACGACTTCTTTCCCCAATAATTTTGCATCCCCGACTACAAAAGAGCTTCTCCATCTAATTGACTTTTCGCACCGACGTCAAACGTGCAGAAATCTTACTCCAATCACATCAACTCATAAAGAATCCCATTTTCACAACAATAGAAATCGGTGAACTTTAAAACAAAAATCATCAAAATAAAAATTAAATGTGTCATAAAAATACAAATTTTTTCCGAGGGAAATGGTTCATTACTTTCATAGTTTGTGGTTTTTAAGTGAGTTGGTGGTGCCAAGACAGCTTAAATTTCATCTCGGTCTTGGAATGGGGCTGCATTCCGATGAATTCATTCTCGCAGTCTCGAGTAGGGTACTGGAACGACCTCAATATCATGCCTTCGACATTCTATTAAATTCTTCTATAACGTCATTACTGGTGCTGCGTGATGATTTTTGTCTCGCTTTAACACTAATGTGGCTCAGTAGGGCTTTTTCCGACAAATACAAACAGGAGGGGCGGTATTTCATTTCACAATTCTACTTGAGATAATTAGAATTTATTCGGGAATAAGGTTTTGCTTTTTTTAGAACTTTTCTAGTGCAAATTGTCTTTTTTTCTTTCTTATGAAAGAGGCGAGGGTTAAACGCTTGGAAATGATTTGAAAGGGATATTTTTCACCACTCTCGACTGAAAATAATTTCAATGAATTTCTATTTTTAGACCGACAAGGAAATAACAAAGAAAAATAAACAAAATTTTGAGAAATAAACGACGATTTGATTAGATAAATGTGTGCTACTTCACTTAGTCATTCAAAAAAGTGTATTTGAAAAAAGAGAGCAAAAGCTTTTTATTATTAAGTGGAATACAGCACACAATACATACAATATACAATAAATTTTTAAATACTAAAAAAAATAGAAACCTTTTGTTACATATTTTTATCATCATTTATGTTTTAAATTATTAAGTTAGTGTAATTTTGCACAATTTGAAAAAAATGCTTTTGTTGCTACGTTCAACTGAGAAATAGAAATTGTAAACGAATAGAACATTTTCTTGCTGCTTATCTATTTATAAAGATTTGATAAGTACGACATACATGATTAGCGATTTGCTTAGATATTTGCTTATGTTAGCATTTGGTGTAAATAAAATCAGTTAATTAACTGTGTACTTCAGTAGCACGAATGTAAAAATGTTATTTTTTTTTCTTTCGATGGTTTTAAGTGTATCAGTCTTAAATGCTGAAGAAAATACGACGTACTACTGTATTGTGAATAGTAGTAACTCTGATGCAATAGTAGTTTTAGAACCTGCAGCTGGTAGAAACACTGATGATAAAGGTAAAACTATAAATTCTCTAATTTTTTTTTTTTTTTTTAGTAATTTAACTTTATTTTAGATTCTAGATTTTTAGACAACAGTACAGTTACTCTTAACACTACTCTTAATGATAAATGGAGTTTTGTTACATCTTTGAGCAAAAGTGAAAATAAATTTCATGAACCAGTCTCAGATAAACGTTGGGAAACATTACCAAACAGTCACAGCAAACCGGACATAATTGAAAAGGCTTTGAAAAACACCACATTATCAGCTTTTTTTAGTGTGAGACTGAATAATGTCAACGAGACATCAAATATAAAAGGCAGTAAAACAGGGGTTCGAACTAAATAATTAACTGAAACCGTGTTATTCTTTTTTTTTAGTGGAATCTTTTAATGAAAAATGGTTCAACACTTTATTTATGTGACAAACACCAATCACCCTGTTCTGAATCACTTATGGAAAAAAATGGTTCTCAGGTGTTTAATGATTTATCCCAAGTTTTATGGAAACTACACGAATGTACGGAATCGAGCTCTTTGACTTAATCACAGAAATAACAGAAAATTTTTACAAATTTTAGATTCATATCATTTTTATGCTGGGCCAAACAGAAATACCATAATATACACGAGTGACGGAACATGTGAAGATGTGCAACAAGGGTGCCTTACAATTTATTTAGCAATGTGCAAGAATTGTAAAATGATATTTTCATTAAAGTCGAATAACGCAAATTCAAAACTCAAATTCAAAAACATAACTGTTTGTCAGAAAAAAGATTTTTGATTTAGTAAAAAAAAAATATGTTTTAGGGAACTGGCACGTGGATGACTGTAGAAATTGATTTAGACAATTTTGCAAAATGTTTTACCTTTGCTGTAGATACAATCGCACATGATGATGTAGAAAATGTATTTTGGGCCATCAGTGATAAAATCTACATGTCAAGTCAACTGAGTTGTCAAGAAAATAAACGATACATTGCTTTACAACCAAAAAAAAATATAACTAATTTTCTTTGTGAAACAGTAAAAAATGAGACGCTTAGTTTTACCACCCAACTTCCAAACACTTTTTGGAAAAATACATATGTTCCCAACAGGACAACTATAGCTAGCATATACCGTAAAGAATATGTAATAGTGACAATCGTCATCATTCTTTCAGTAATAGTCGTAACTGTAATACGTGTACGTTCCTGTTGTAAGCTTAAAACACGCCAAAAACTTGGTAAAAAAACATCAGATTATCAAGAATTGGAAACTGTTTCATTTATTAACGATCGCGATTTCGCTATTTCAACAATTTGGAATCCAATCAAAAGAAAAGATTTCGAAAATTATGTCAAAAGGATTTTTAAACCAGATTCTCAAGAGCTTCAAAATCAATTTGGCGTAAGTGTATTTCTGTGTTTTTTCCTACAATTATTTTTCTGTTATGTAGAGCCTTCCTTCCGAATACTTAGAACCGCATTCAGAGGGTGTCAAAATAGAAAATCTCTCAAAAAATTGTTTTTCTTCTAACTTTTGTCCTTGTAAGTTTTCCCAAACAAGTTACTTGCATAAATTTCATAAATTTTAGATGACAGAAATCGAGTCAAATTGAAACGAAAAAAGTTTTGTAAAGTCACTTGTGGCTACATAAATGCCAGCTATATTCAGGTAATTTAAACAAGGAAAATAATTTTAGGTAATACGTGTATTACAGGGGTGTAGTAATTATAGAGAATACATTGCCACTCAAAACCCGCTAGAAAACACAGTCAACGATTTCTGGTATATGGTCTGGCAGGAAAATATCAAACATATTGTAATGATTTCAAGTTACGACGATTCATTTTTTTGCTATTGGCCCCAAAAAAAAGACACTAGAGTTGTGTATGATAACATAAAAATCACTTTAGATGACATAGAGCAACACCAATTCTACAAACGGCGCGTTTTTAAAATAGAATACAAAAAAATCACGAGACAAGTCAGACGAAAACAACTTATAATAAAATCTCATTTTGAATTTTTAGATTGAACAACTGCATTACGATTCTTGGGACGAAAATGATTCAGAAAGCATCAAATCGAGTAAACTGATTGGTTTTGTGGACCGACTACTAAAAATCCCACATTTAAGTTCGCCAATATTGGTTCATTGCCGGTAGAATTTTCCAATAAATTTAAATATTTGTTTAAAATAAATTGTTTACAGAGCCGGCATTGGACGAACAGGACTAATAATTTTATGTGATATTGTTTTAAGATCGTTACCACTCTACAACACAATTGATATTTACTCTACTACTAAGGCATTGAGGAAAAGTAAAGTTCACATGCTGCACACTTTGGTAATAAAATAAAACCTGCAGCAATAACGGTATTTATTTATACTTTTAGGAACTGTACAAGTTGGCACACTTGGTTGTGCGCGATTTTTTGAATAAAAGATAAAAGTGTATTTTTTTTTCCTACAGGTGGAAACGACCCAGGGCAGAAAGGACACTTTCCTCCAGGGGAATACATATAATTTTTCCTCCGATCCAGCAAGAAAAACTTAGAAACTCACAATTTCTCTTGAAATTTCAGTTTCGCTATTAAATTTTACAGCATGTTTTCTTGTTTCTATAGGAGAAGTAACATTTGCACTTTCTTGAGAGATTACATGCATTTTTTGTAATTTTGACAGATGAGATAATTGGCCATTTACCTTGCTGAAATTAGAGTGGAAAACTTACTCTGTTAGGGTCGTAGGAAAGCAGTATTTCCTGAACAGTATTCTATATTTATTATTGTATTTATTAAATGTTTAATCTACTTGTTTAAATATAAAAAGGATTTTTTCTTGTTTCTGCCAATCTTATGTTTTAAAAAAATTAAATCAAATAATTACAAAAAATTGTAATTTTCTTTTTTCCATTTTTGTCCTGGCGCCCATGAATTTGGCAGTCGGAGATTACTGCGCAAACTTTTTATTTTATTTCGATGACTCAGTAGTGTACTTACTTTTTGAGATTAAATTTGTACGATTTTCCATTTATTATAAACTATTTTTACAAACGCATATTCTTTTCATAGTTTTTGTAACCTTTACGATTTATAGATTTAAATATTGTTGTGTATTTCAAAATCACGATGGATATATTATATTTTCAATGAAATATTTTAAATCAAAAACTATTAAAAAAATTGTAAACTTTATTTCTTTCTGCACATAAAAAAGTAAAATTTTACTAAACTTTGAATACATCAAGAATGGAATCTAAGCCATTATACAGTATGGTGCAAAAAAAAGGAATAAATTCATTATTTTGTAAATGACTTAGTACAAAAATCCTAGAACTGGTCAATTTATATTTTTCTTCTCACAATAGAAAATTTCGACAAAAAAAAAAGTATGTCAAACATTATAATAGATAATTACTAACTACTGATATGGTTGAATAGAGAATTACAAGACCTATCAAAATAGCTATCGCATGACTCAAATGTGTAATTAACAAAAATATCGATGACATCACATATAAAACAAAATAAAATCTTACAGAACGCCCTTTAAAAAATAAAAATCCACCTGTTTCAAGATTTTTGTTCAAAGTCACAATTTTACAATTTAAAGTAATGTGTGTAGTTCTTTCATTGCACCATACTGATGTATAATTTTTATTTACCCAAAATGGGAAGAAAATTTAACGTTTTTGTATACTTAGTTACCAATTTATTTACAAAAATGATTAGATAAGACATGTCTCAGGTAGTTCTAAAAATGTCTTTATACATTGATAAAATCATTTATTTAACTACTGCATTGATACATTTGTAAAAATGTTATTTTATTTTATTCTTTCCGTGATTTCAAGTGTGTCAGTTTTAAATGCCGAAGAAAATACAACTTACTATTGTGTTGCGAATAGTAGTAACTTTGATGCAATAGTAGTCTTAGAACCCGCAGTTGGCAAAGACATTGATGATAAGGGTATGAATTTTCTAATTTGAAATAAAAAATGTATTTTTGTTATTTGACTTTATTCTAGAGTCCAGATTTTTGGACAACAGCACAGTTACTCTTAATACAAAGCTTAATGATACATGGACCTTTGTTACATCCTTGGACAAAACTGAAAATAAATTTCATGAACCAATCTCAGATAAACGTTGGGAAACATTACCAAACAGTCACAGCAAACCGAGCGAAATTCGAAACGCTTTGAAAAACACCACATTATCAGCTTTTTTTAGTGTGAGACTGAATTATGTCAACGAGACATCAAACATAAAAAGCAGTAAAACAGGGGTTCGAACTAAATAATTAACTGAAACTGTGTTATTCTTTTTTTTTAGTGGAATCTTTTAATGAAAAATGGTTCAACACTTTATTTATGTGACAAACACCAATCACCCTGTTCTGAATCACTTATGGAAAAAAATGGTTCTCAGGTGTTTAATGATTTATCCCACGTTTTATGGAAACTACACGAATGTACGGAATCGAGCTCTTTGACTTAATCACAGAAATAACAGAAAATTTTTACAAATTTTAGATTCATATCATTTTTATGCTGGGCCAAACAGAAATACCATAATATACACGAGTGACGGAACATGTGAAGATGTGCAACAAGGGTGCCTTACAATTTATTTAGCAATGTGCAAGAATTGTAAAATGATATTTTCATTAAAGTCGAATAACGCAAATTCAAAACTCAAATTCAAAAACATAACTGTTTGTCAGAAAAAAGATTTTTGATTTAGTAAAAAAAAAATGTTTTAGGGAACTGGCACATGGATGACCGTAGAAATTGATTTAGACAATTTTACAAAATGTTTCACCTTTACTGTAGATACAATCGCACAGGATGATGTAGAAAATGTGTTTTGGGCCATCGGTGATAAAATCTACATGTCAAGTCAATTGAGTTGTCAAGAAAATAAACGATACATTGCTTTACAACCAAAAAAAAATATAACTAATTTTCTTTGTGAAACGGTAAAGAATGAAACGCTTAACTTTACCACCCAGCTTACAAACTACGAAGAAGACAATACAAAACGAAAAGTTTACAATACAAAAGAAAACATTACTTTGCCTTCTAACAATAACATCGAGAAAGCTAACTCGTTTAGTGTAGTATATATAATCATTATTATTCTGTCAATAACAATAATTGCAATAATAGTGTTTGTAATTCTTTATAAAAAACGACTTTGGAGAAGAACACGTAAATTTTAAAAGACTTGATTGACATGTAATAACGTTTTATTTTAGAAAATCAGAATAGTGTGAGATTTGGAAATTGTTCAGATTCGGAGAATTTAATCGACAATAATGCTACTAAAGAAGAAACATTTAATTTGAAAGACAGTCCATCACCAATCCCCCAAAGAGAATTTGAAGCCTACATTAGAAAATGTTGTGAAGATTCTACTGACCTTCAATTACAATTTTCTGCAAGTATTTAAAAAAAAAAAATGTAATTAGTTTTATTGTAAATTGCAGGCTCTTCCGTCCGGATACCTAAAGGATTATAATGAAGGAAAAAAAATGGAAAATTTAGACAAAAATCGATATCCAAATATTATTCCATGTACGTTTTTAGTTTTACTATTACCCACAAACTATTTTTTTTTTAGACGATGTTACTCGAGTCAAGCTTGAGAAAAATTTGGGTGACGTGGATCACACCACCGATTATATCAATGCCAGTTATATTAAAGTAAAATTGTGTACTTGTAGAGTGAGAAGCTTTATTGAATTTTGTAGGGCGTTGACAGTGATAAGGAATACATAGTGACCCAAAACCCGTTAGAACACACCGTCATCGATTTTTGGAGGATGATTTGGCAGGAAAAAGTCGAACACATTGTGATGATAAGTAATAAAGAGGAAAAAGTTTACCAATATTGGCCCCAATTGAAAAAATCTGTATCGTATGGAGGAACTGAAATATTGTGTGAAGTAGACAACGTGCACGAGTTTTACGACCACCGTGTATTTACTGTTCAGCGGTTTGGTGAAAATAGAACGGTAATCACACAAAAGTAAACCAGACGAAAATTCTAACTAATTTCGTAGATAAACCAATTTCATTTTCACGCCTGGTCGAAGGAAATGCTTGCGGCGTATGTTTTTGCCGATTTTATTAACCGTCTGTTGATGATTCCTCACCACAGCGCCCCTGTTGTTTTCCATTGCTTGTAAATCAACAATCTTGAAACTTTCCAATTTAACCGAGAGTTTTCCAGAGCTGGAGTTGGAAGATCAGCCACTATTGTTTTGTGCGATATTGCCCTACGTTCAGTGGCGAAGAATGGCACTTTTGATTTGTTCAAAATCACTAAAACTATGAGGGAATGTCGTGTAAACATGGTCCAGAATTTGAAACAATACCTTTTGGCCCACTTAATTATTTTCGAAGCTTTGAATTATGAAGATTTAGCGATTGCATTGGATGAAGATTACGAGAATCATTTCAGTAAATATTTCGAAGGCAACTATGTGAAAAAATTGTGGTCAAAATTTTTGGAAAATAGAAATTGGATTGATGAAGCTATAATGCCGTATGATGTTTGCGCAAATTATCCTAATATGAATCGCTACACTAACCCTAGTTTGCTCCCAGGTTTGGAAAATTCAATTTAAGTTTATTTGTTTAACAAGTTTTGTAGTGGAACACAGTCGAGTTTTTCTCGGCACTCAAGAAGAACCCAAATACATCCATGCAATGTATGTGAACGATTACAACCAAATGAAGAATTTTATCGTCGCTCAACAACCAATGAGAGCCACACTGGAGAATTTCTGGTTGATGATTTTAGAAAAATCAGTCACAACTATTATTAATTTACACGAACTAGACCGCAGAAGGAACCATACTTATGTAAATAACATATTTTATTTCACATATAATTTATTCAGTGTTTCAGAGCGACTTGTACTATTTTCCAGTCTTGGACCAGACTTTAAAAATTGGTGATGACATTTTGGTTAAATTGGATTCAAAAGAGCACCACAGCAATTATGACAAAATAAACATCGTTGTCACAAAACAAGTACTGTTTAAAATGTAAAAAACAATAACGAAATAACTGAATTTTAGTCTAGAGAAAGAAAAATTAAACTTCTCTACGTTAAAAACTGGCAAAAAAATGATGCTCAACCCGACTCCACCGATGTTGTTATAAATCTTTGGGATGCCATGGGGGACCAAAATCCAGACTACCCAACATTAATCTGTTGCGAGTTCGTTTATTTATTTATTTTTTTAATTTTATTAAAAAAAAATATTTTCAGTGATGGAATTAGAGCAAGTAGTTTTGTGGCTTGTTTTTTCTACATGGCCGATAAGATGATTCACGAACGGAAATGTGATGTGGTTGGGGCCGTGAGGGCTGTTAGACGGACTCATCACAGTTTTATTAATTTCGAACAGTTTGTTTTTCTTTTTCACTGTGCTGTTGCATTTTATAAGAATTGTGTCAAGTAACTAAGTTTTGAAAAAATAATACCTCTATCAAACAGTGATATTTAATTAATAATAACAAAATATACCGTGTCTGTCAAAAACATACAATATTTAAAATAATAAAGGAAAACTCTGACAATCTTGTTTTTCAAAAAGTGTTTTCTCATTGCTCTTATTTCTCTCTAATATGTTTCTACGATTTTTTTGACGCATCCAATATTTGTATCTAAGATATTTGAACTGTCGTAAATCTTAAGTCGGGTACCCGAATTACTGTTAACAATAAGACATTAGGGTGGTTGTAAATAACAATATCACTGAGGAGTCCGGATCATATTCTGATGTGGTATTCCAGATAGTGTTTAGTATTGGATTATTTACAACAACCCAAATATTTCTATTGTTAAGAGTAATTCGGGTACCCAACTTAAGATTTACAACAGTTCAAATAGCGCAGTCTCAAATAAACAGCATTAAAAACTAGTGGAACTCCAAGAATGTTTAAAACGATAACAATAATATCTCTGCAACTGGAGTGGTGCGAAAAGTCCAAAAACTCATTAAATTTCGTTCAAATTTGCTTCTTAAAAATTTCAACAATACATTATGTCTCCGGCTTCAGTTTACAATTTTTATCTTTGATTTTATGCCAAAACTGCAAAGGAAAAACATTTTTTGCTTCACCTGAAACGAGCAAATCTGTACTTAAACATCATTATTTTGATTCAGTGAAAATAGAAGTTAATTTTTCTCTTGATTTTCGACTTAGAATACGTACTTTTTTTAAGTCCTATCACATTGGCGGTTTTAGCTTTACCTACTTATTTGACTGTATGTCACTTCGACTATTAATTTATTAATTAAATAATGATAGTTTGTTCTTGTTAAAAATGAGTTTGGTTTTTATCTTGGTTGTTTCTTTGAGTTGTTACTTATTAAAATTATATTTTTCATAAACATTTTTGTTATTTAACTTGCGAAAACTGATTTAACAAAGTATATATTATATATATAGACATATATGTA